CTCTCTATTTGTGTGTTAGAGTATTAAAAAGCAAGTACTTTTAACATTCTAATTTTCTTTAAGCTATGGCTGGAAAATATTTTTTTTTTGCATGGAGAAACATCCTCTTTACTGAGGAATTATTGGAATGTCTAAGCTAATTGGGAATGGGAGATCAATTAGAGTATGGTGTGACCCCTGGTTGGATGATGGTAGGCTTAGGATACCATTGATGAAAAACGTACTCATTGATATAAATCAGAGGGTAAGTGACCTTATTGATCAAAGATTTAGAGAGTGGAGAAAGGAAGTTTTGATGATATATTCTATCAAAGAGATGCGGATCTTCAACTGAAAAAGAAACCAGTAATGTTCTAGATAGATTATTGGGTCTCGAATCACACTAAGAGTGGCGATTATGCATTGGAAAGTGGTTGGTGGTTGGCTAACTTGGAAAAAATGATGAGGTTATACTGGAAGCAGCCTTTCTACCTTCAATTAGTGGTTATCATATCAGATTTCTGATCTTTAAGCACCCTTAAATAAAAAATTTATTGTGGATGGCCATTAAAAATGTTAATTTAAGTAGTTGATATGATATCTATAAGACGGGCTATAGGGGATATCATGTGTCAAACTTGTAGATTTGAAGGAAAAATACTAATCATGTTCTCTTTATGTGTACATCAGCTAGACAATTGTGGGTAGTATCTAATGTTCCATGGCCAGAGACAAGGTTCCATCATGAATATGTGTACTCAAATTTCTCTTATGTGTTGTCCATTAAGAGGAGATGAGTATCCCTCTCTATATTCAAGGACTCATCCCTTGGGTGTTATGGATGATTTGGAAAAGATTCCAGGTATGTGATATAACGAATGTATCAAATTGGTCCTTGGCCCAAGAAGTCCTTGATGAGCCAAAAGATATTCATTTGTCAAGTATTTAGATTAAAGTTACCAAATCGAAATGTCCACGGAATGGTTGGCTTAAGTGCAACATTGGACACTCTTAGAATAAGTATAATAAGATAGGAGGTGTCTGGGTTTTGAGAGATTCCCATGGTAAAGTTATTCTCCACAATAGAAAAAATCCTTGAAAGTACGGTCTCGTAAGAAGATAGCAAATTTAGTATGTTTGATTGGGCAATGAAGAGCATGAAGAACCATCGTTTGGATAAAGTTATTTATGTTTGTCAGGAGTCTTCGCTTATGGGTGCTATGTTTAGGCATAGAACTTGGCCAAATTTTAGCTTCCATATTGAGTACATGTCAAAAGCTTTAGCTATTTTTTATGAATGGAGGGTCGAATGAGAAGCTCCAAGCTCCAACAAAAGTGCATTCTTGATTGCACAAAGTGTAACCAAGTGTAAAAAACTACATTTCCTACAAACTACCTTTGCTACGTGTCTATTGGTTAACCTTTTATGGTTAAAGGATCTCTTCATCTCATAAGCTTTACCATCAGATTCTTAGGTTTGGTGGTAGAGAATTTTTTTGTCGATGGTTTTTTGGGGTTTATGTGAGGGATGAAACCATGAAGTTTTGGTGTTTTGTGGCTGCATTAAGTGTTCGGTTATGTTAGGTTTAGAGGCTCAAATACTCTGATTTTATGAGTTTAAACCAACACAGACCAAGACATGAAGTGGTTTGATTCGAAACAGAGAGAGACTAACACAGAAACAGAGATAGC